GTAAGATTCCAATATTTTAAAATGCTATCAAATTTATCAAAAAGCTCACCTTTGGCTACCCAAAATGTCACATATAATAATTTTTCCTCAATTATCTATATGGATTTAGCAACTAATTTTAACATTTCTTTTCAATGTACAGACTCAGTTTTATATATATATATATATATATATATATATATATTTTCAAACCAATCTGAAGTTTAAAGTTAGAAGAATTCTAGACATCCCTATTTTGGAACAATTAATACTGTGCAGAGTAAGTACAGTAATTCCTCAAGCTATGTAAACAATGCATTCTGTGAACCTTCACATAACTCAAATTTTAAACGATTTGGAAATTACTTAAGCGTAACTTCAAAAGAAACTACATTTATTAATATATGTTTAACACATGCATAATATATGTTTATATTAACACACGCATGTTTATTATTTACACAGTTTTATTTTATAAAAGGAGTATTATGCAGCACTACACACAGTGGTTTATGTGAATATAAGCTAAAAAAAGTATGAAACACTCTTAAAAAAAAAAAAAAAGACTCGGGAGTAGAAATTTGGCTCTGTACTGGGAAAGACAGGATTAGAGGTGGATAGTTGTGAACAGAAATGCTGCTCTCTGACAACTTTTACCAATCTTGATATTGTAGTTTGAGAGCAGTTGTGGGTAATTTCAGTTGTAATCTTGAAACTGGTACCAACAGAACCTCACAATTATGTCTTAAACTGTGTTGTCACATACTTTTTGTCATTATAAGTAGCATTGGCTTAATATATGAGAATGAATACAATTGCTAAAATTTCCAAGCCACTTTAACTGCATTCAGATGGCAGTCTTCTCTCATTCGGTTTATGTCAAGACCTAGCCTTCTCCAGGATAACCAGAAAGCTCAGTGGTCCAGTCAAAAGTCGTTAATCCGGACACCCATAATCCGGAATGATCTATAATCCAGACCTCAAAGCTACAAACTTGCTGTGCATTCGTGAACGCTATTAATGCATGTGCGCATAATACATTTACGCATGCGCGTTTAATGTATAATGGACAATATAAGCTAAGCTAAAATTATCTAATTATCTATTTCAGTTAATGTTGCAGATTGCGTTGTTCCTTAACCTTCGAATCGGATCCGGCTTATTATTTTTTGCAGACTGTTAGAGCAATTTTATAAAAGTAAGCTTGAACTTTTGATTATGTCAAATAGAATTTCCAATATATATTTACTAATATGTAAAGGATGTACAAAGCGAAAATATGTTTCAATGTCCATCAAACAAAAAGTGGAATTGCTGCATATCCTTTGTTTCTCTAACCATTCCGAAATTTGTTTATAAATTTCACGCTGCTCTGCGCGGGGGGGGGGACGTCACGGCACGCAATGAACTGGAAGTTGATCTATCAACACTATAATTATCTTCAGAGCAGATGTTTTTTATTTTATTTGGGTTATAATTCCTTACTAAATGTTGTATTTCATCTCGATGTATTCCATCTTTGATATAATTTAAATCAAATTCTTCGTCATTATAAAGATCACGAGTACACATCAAATAGTTTTCTGGTTGCAATTTTCTAATTTTGACTATGCGTAATGTATGCTTTACGCATGCGCACGTTGAAAGAAATGTTTAATAAAGTAAACAAATAAATATTAAGCTTTTTCTTTTTGTAAATTTCGATACCCTTTAGATCATAATTGCTCTTTATTTCATAAATTACGGTTTCATATTTTTAATTTTATAATTTCCGCATGCCATCTTACCAGATTTAAACTGATGATCTATAATCCGGAAAAATCGATAATCTGGAATCGCCGAAGTCCCAATGAGTCTCGATTAAAGACTTTTGACTGTATTTGATTCTATATCATATCCTCAAGCTAGAGGGGCAATTATTCAATCTCTGAAATCGATAACATACTTTTTGTTGTAATCATAGTGCCTTTCATGCTTTCAACAATGCAAACTTTATCCTACACTATGATATTCAGATTTGAAACATGTCAACTTATAGCCTGAGCTATTGATGTAATTCTTCCATTTTCATACATATGAATTATTTTTAACTTTTCTTCAAATTCTACAATTGTAATTTTTTTAATTTATTACCAGCATGCTTCTGCATATGAAATTTAAGGGTAAATAACACTAACAATGATAAACAACTGACTAAATTTATCACTTAAATACTATTTGAATGCAACACAGTTTGGGGCAAACATTATTCTTATTGGTTCTTATTTCTTACTGGTAGGTTTCAATTTGAATGTTATGGTCTTTGCACCCTTACACAACTGCAAATTTATGTAAATGGGAAAGGGATTAGTGCACTAAATGCATTTCTATTCAATGTATTCTATTCTCCTATTTCTCTCCCCTTTATTAAAAAATCCAGCCTCTCCCCATACAAAAAGTGAATTCTAAGACATAAATCGGCGAGATTAATAAAATGGAAAATACTCCTGTGATATCATTACTGAACAGGCAATCAGAGATATTACATTTCTTGGCTGAAAGGAGAACGGCATCATTTGGGATATATCACAACCCTGATTTCAGAAATGAATTCTGATTAGGAAGTGCTTCTGTTCCATCCATATATTGAGAATGTTAATTCTGAAAATCAGCATAGTACACACCGCAGTTAAACCACTCCATTACTTCTGTTTATCACAGCTTGAGAAACTAGGAATACCATCACTATGTGTAACATCCTGTCGCTTAAACTTTCATCTACATTAAATATGATGACACAATCCTCAGAGATAAAATTTCAATTCCAATATATAAAATAATGCTTTCAGAGGGCATAAAAAATACTTCATGAGTAACAATTAAAAAATGTGGAGATAGAAAAATGTACCACGTAATCTCTAATATAAAGTACAAGCAAAGGAATGCTAATGAACAAACATTTCTGTTTCAATTACTTCCAGTATTTTTTTTAAAGATTTTTCAATACGATTTGTACAGCTGATTACATGAAATTAAAAATTTTCTTGCAAATGTCTGTTACATTTTCAAATCACACACCTTATAAGATTTAAAGAAAAAAATTGATATTTGGGGGAGTGGGGACTGTTGAAAAGAAAGAACGTACATATAATTGGGTTTTAAAACTATATTTCACTAAAAATATTCAGTTAATCATGCCCCTGCATCCATTCATTCAATATTTCAATGTTAAGTGATTTTAGCATGCCTAAGGAGGGTGCAGAGAGGGAGAGAGAAAACTTTGCACATATAAATAAAATAAAAGAACCACATAAACTGCACAATCTATTCTATACACCAAACGAGACAATGATTTGTAATATAGTCATTTATCTTCCTACAACACGAGCAAGCTCATTTCAAATTTACACCATCAAATAATGATGAAGCTCCACCAGTGGCTGTGTGGTTAAGACCACTGAATACTGGGAGCTCGACCTAGGTTTGATACCCGGCAAGCAGGCTGACTGCATCACTGGCTTTAGTGGATTTTCCCAGGTGTAATATGAACATGAGCCAGTTCTTAGAAAGTACTCCATGAAGGTATTCCCATTCTTAAGCAGGAAGACCTCATGTACTTTATTCAAATAATGTAACTTAACCAAACAGTGATGATAAAATTAGTCCATCTGAAAGTCTGCACATGATCTCAAGTTAAAGGCCAACATTCAGATACACATTTTTCTCAGCCTTGTCCTCAGCTGAATAGCTGATGGCTAGGCTTCATAACTGTCAATGACGAGACAGTATTTGACATATCATCCTTTGTTTACATATCAGCATATTACAAAAAGAATGATTTTTTTATTGCCACCACGCATTGAAAGAGCAAATATTTTATGGTGTACGTAACAATTATATCATGCCCAGTGCCACAGAGGCTAGTGCATCGCGCAGCAGCACCACAGGTCCGAGGTTCGATTCCCGGGCTGGGCAAGGTCGACTCAGCCTTTCATTCCTTGATTTACATCACTTGGGTTGATAAAATGAGTACCAAGTTTGCTTGGGGACTAAACACTGGGGGGTCCTGCGACAAGCTGACCACTTGTTCAGGGCATATGCTTATGCACCTGGGGCCCATGATCAAGAAAGCAGATTTTGGGCATTGCAGGCCTTGGCTCATTAGGGCTGTTATGCCACAGAGTTTTATTTAGAGGAGGTAACAATTATTCACTTCCCAGTCATCTTTCTGAGGATTAAGCAAAAATATCAGAATTCATTACATTAATATGCGCAAGGAAGAGAGGAAAAATGTATAATTTGTATGTATACATTTTTGTAGTAATGAATAAAATTTGTATACTTTTAAATAAAAAAAGTTAGTTGTACAGTATTCAAAGTATTATTCAATATACTTTTGTGACTAATATATTTAATGTTAATGCTTTACTGAGACTAATTTATCTATTAAAAACGATCCTATTTACATATACACAAATATTATGTTTTATACAGTGTTTGTATTAACCACAGTATTAGAACATATTACTTACAGATACAGGGGCACTTTCATACTTATAAAATTCAGGGGGGGGGAATCATGCAAGTTAATATCAACCACTGCAGGGAAAATTTATGAAAAAGTGCAAATGCATAGGCTTTTTAAAAATACCACTCATTTAAAAAAAATATGGTTACTATAAAACTTTTCAAAATTCTCCATAAAGTATTACAAATAACTTCAAAATACCAAATTTCATACTTATATCATCCTTTTATAAGTATACACATTCATAATTAAAAATATTTCATATTAACAGTATTTTATCTGCATTATAAACTATAAAAATTTTAAAACCCATTAAGTGCTTCCTTAGCTAATTTTAATGTTTTAAGGAACTCCACTTTAGAAAACCAAGTTCCACTGCGCAAAACATGAAAAGGTGAAATTCTAAAATTGCAGAAAAATTCAAGAGGAAAATGAAAATTTGGTTCTTAGTTAATATGCTTTATCTTTAACACGATTAAATAAAAACAGAAGAAAGGAAAACAGTAACAGAATATTTCAGTTCATAATTACTAAACAGCAAATATTTTTTCTTTTATTAACATGTATAAATGTGAATTAGTTTCAGAATCAGATGTCTAGAGTTCATTTAATATAAAAAATCTTCTACGAAGTAGGTAAGCCTTATAATCAACATATAATTTTTTAATACAATGCATAGTACTATGGACACATATTCAAGAAAGCAGTTGTAAATGCAAAATGCATAGTATGTTTTAGATATTATGTTTTAAATAATTATGAATAATATGAAAAACAAAGTCAATTATCAGGTTTTGGCATTCCCACACAGAAAGTTACTCTATTCCTGAGAAAGGAAAGCAACAATGATTTCCGTAGTGATTGCTTTGTTAAAAATTCAGTAACATGACATGAATGCTAAGAGATGAACTCCTTCCACATTGTTCTGTGACTAGATATTTACATGAAAGGCCTTTGTTTTCATTTTGTACAAGAAATCAATTAGGAGTCAAAAAAGTTAAAAAAAAATCACTGGAAGCAACTGATGAATATACAATGGATCCATGGCTCTCAGAGCAGTATGAAGAAAACAGTTCTTTTTACATTTGCAAGGAGTGCTGAAAAATTGCAGCAGTTTCTTATAAAATTTGTTCTTAACTCATTCACTTAGCATTTGTAAGCATATTTGACAACCTGCAAATAAAAACAATAAATAATAAAGGAACAAATCAAAGAAACAAACTCACAAAATTAAAAGCATGAATTACACATAAAATGTCTTACATTAAAGTGAATATATTGGCTAAGGAAAGAGGTAGTTCACCAATGCATAATGATGCTTGAAACAGCTTGTATATTTGCAGCCACTGATTCGAGTTCACATCCCTTCAAATACTATTTCTGATTGTGTATATATATTTTTTTTATTTCTGTAGACATGATTTATATAATTTCAAAGAATTTTTTCCCGTGCTACCGCTGATGGCACAGTCCTGTGTAACACGTCAAAAACTGAAAATTGATAATTAATTTTCAAGAATAGATCCACTACAGCATACTTTTTTTATATTGCAGTGTTTTTGATATTTCAATGATAATAACTATCTACCACTGATTTTGGAGGTCAATACAGTAATGAAATGAAAGAAACATATCTTCTAATATGTTTTATGATGATGATGTGACAGCAAAATGTTTATTAACAGTCATATAGATGCATATGATATGATACATTGACGTAATGATGCAATATAAGCAAATGAATATGACAAATTATTCATGGTAGAAAATGCTACTAAAAAGGGTACATTACCTGATCAAAAAGAAATGAAGTATTTACTGACAACCTATGCTTCAAAGTACACTCATGTCCATAAATTAGGGATAATGCCAGCTTCGGCAATTAAAGGTTCAGAAACAAAACAAACATGATTTATTCATAAAGCCCATTTATTAAACTAAAAACAGATAACAAAAATGATGGTGTATGTATGATACTTTTTACCATAAAAACCTTGATTTTTGCTCCTAGGAGCAATTACAAAAAATACCTCCTTTACAAAAACTTAATATTATATGGTTGGTATGATGGTCAATACATTGTATGTCTCCCAGACAATGAAATACAGTCTGTACAACACTTAGGCAGGCTGAATATCAAATTATCGAGCTGATCTTGGGAGAAGATTACCCCACTCAGCAAGCAATGCTCTCTGAAGTTCCGATACACATGTAGGAGATGCTTGATGGGCTGCAATTAGCCGGTCAAGCATGGCCCACACATACTCTATCAGATTCAAATCAGGTGAGAATGCTAGCCATTCCGTATGGTTGATATCTTCCGATTGAAGGCATTCCTTTACAATGTTTGCGAGGTAGAACGGGTGTTGTAATTTATAGACACAAATTCTGCTCTTACGGCACCCTTAAACAAACATACATGTTGTTTCAGAATGATGTCCCAATAAATTTGGCCGGTCGTGGTTCTGAACATGCAAATATTTTCAGGAGCCCAGTATAATTCCACCCCAAACAAGCAATTTTGCACTACAATAGCACCATTATTCAATGATGCCTTGGTGTTAGCGGGTACCTGGAGTTCTCCATATGAAAGTCCAATGTGAATTAGACTGCAAGCTAAACTTGGACTCACTGGCAAACATCACACAAGCATACTGTGACGATGTCAACATTGCACGTTCTCTACTCCAGGCTAACTACTGGCAACAGTGGGTTACCATGAGCGGAACACATCTGACAGGCCCAAGAGTAAATACACCAATTTGTCCCAAACGTCTGCACATGGTTTGACTTGAAACTGTTGCACCCACGACTGAAGATAGCTGGCAATACAGGTCTGATGCTGTGCATCTTTTGGCAGTTACTGCTAACACCAGTCGCCATTCGCTGTTGTAACTTAAGGGCGACTTGTACTGTAACGTCTACTGACAGTTTCATCATTTTGGAATCGTTGCCCAACCCTAGAGATTACGTTTTGGGCTATTCCAAGTTCTTTTGATACTTCCATCTGAGTATGCCCCCATTCCAAGTGGCTATTAATTTTACCACATAAAAAATCATCCACATTCGTCTTGTGTGTGTGTGTTATAACTTGTGTGTGTGGCACCAAGGTGCTTATAAAATGCTTGTGAACAATTTTACTTTGCCCTTATAGACACTTCTCTTACACTCTCATCATTGTGACGTACTACTACCGGCGTCATCGGATGGCTTCCTGTAACTTGGAGATTATTCTTGAAGATGTGTGCAATAATTCTACAGGTGAAATTTTTACTTTAGCATTTGATTTCCATGTGATTCTGAATTGCTTTTAATTTATGGGCAGGAGTGTATTTTCAAATGATCCTCAAAATCTAAGTGAAATTGCTGGACTATTATAATCACAGATGATTTGGCAGAGATGATTGCAAATACATCTGATATGTATTCACATCTGTTACATAAACATCAGAAGTAATTAAGTAAAATATACTACTGTGCTCGAAATAAGAAAACTTCTAGGACTAAATATTTTGATGGCATAAGTATAAAAAACCAAACCTTAATTTGTAATATTATATTCACTTGTGTTACATAAACATTAGAAGTAATTAAGTAAAATATACTACTGTGCTCGAAATAAGAAAACTTCTAGCGCTAAATACTCTGATGGCGTAAGTATGAAAAAACCAAACCTTAATTTGTAAACAAGAAGATCTGGCCATTGCAATACCTATTTTCCAAAAAATAATGACATGAATTAGATTCCAAGAACTTTCAGTTTTTTTGTAGTTTCATAAATACAAATAAGCTATGTAAAAATAAAATATTATTAAATTATGTTTCATAAGCATGTATGCAAAATTACATCCACCATATTCATATAGTCCTAGAAAAAACTAAAGTTTTCAGAATAGTTTTTTTCTTTTCAATTTTTTTCATGGATGAAATTACACTTTTTTTAAGACTTAACATTTTTAAAAGAGCAATTTCTTACAAGCTTGTTGTTTACAAAATAAATTTTATAGTTGTTTTCCTAGTTTTAAATGACAGAAATCCACAACTAGATTTTGAAATTTTCAAATTCTGATATTGTTAAAGGCTTTTAGAATTAAGACAGTTAAAAAAAACACTACTGGCTACAAATGTTTAAATAGGGGGAGGGGGACCTTTTCAAAAAATTGAATGATTTTTGCCAGAGATGCAAAAATCATGCAATACTGCCAAATGGCCTGCATGGTGATTAATATTAATTGGATATTATAAATATGTTTAATTTACTGTATAATTATAAATTTACCAGGAAGCTCTCTCCCCAGCACTGTAAGAGCTGTAGAAGAAGAGAATGGAGTATATAAGATAGCAGAAGATGAAGAAAGAGGAAATGTTGGTGAAAAAAAATGGAAGAGACAGAAAGAGTCAATACTAGTTTATGTTTGTACAGGGAGGTCGAGACAAGGAGGTGGGCAGAACATTGCTTGATCTAGTATAATTATATATTATCTTTGTATAATTATCTGTATTTGTATCTTTGTATTTGTATCTTTGTATAATTATAAATTTACCAGGAAGCTCTCTCCCCAGCATTGTAAGAGCTGTAGAAGAAGAGAATGGGGTATATAAGATAGCAGAAGATGAAGAAAGAGGAAATGTTGGTGAAAAAAAATGGAAGAGACAGAAAGAGTCAATACTAGTTTATGTTTGTACAGGGAGATCGAGACAAGGAGGCGGGCAGAACATTGTTTGATCTAGTCAACAGTAACACTATGACATATATTACATTGTAAGAGAGCAGTTAATTAGTTGGCCTATTAGAATAGCACTGATTATCGAGTTAAATGTTACAAGACTCCTCAAACATGAAACATGGAAATTTCATTCTGTACGAAAAACTAAATAAAGTTGTAGCTGCTTAAATTTTTACTTAAAATTTGAGAAAAGATTTTCTTTTTGGATTCTGAAATGATTTATAAGCTGTTTATTATTAAGAGCTGTTTCTTTGTCAGACTGGGCTGCTGACATGAACTCTTAATAAATTTTAAAAAATCATGTACAGCAAGGAATATATTTTTTGTTGTCTTGATTATAAAACAACATATCAATATGTAGTATTCAACTGGTATTTCAGTTGCTATACCTTGAAAGCAAAAATGAATGAGGTATGAATAATGCAAAGGGGAAAGGTCCATTTATCTTAAAAATGGATAAAAAAACATTTAAGGTATGAATACTGCAAAAATAAAGTAGAAAAAGAGGAAAAAATTGAAAGATAAGTAGGTGAATTTTAAAAAGAACTTTATCAAGAGAGTTGTAAATACATATAAGGAAATCACCAAGATAATTTGTCTATTTAACGTTTTGATTAATGGTTTGGTCGCAAATTACAGATATCAAAATCATTTAATTTCCACGGCATTATCTAGAGAACACAGAAAGTTTTTCGAAAGGTCAGAGCTACTGAAAGTAGATCATGATGCAATGAGTCAATGTCTTATTTAAAATCGAGTTGATTTAGTCTGCAAGTAGACAGAAAATGACAGTTCATCTGATATAAAAGGGATAAGGTATAGAGCAAGTATCATGACTGATGGATACATTGAGCTACAAATGAGAGACAATGGCAATATGATGGGTTTATATTGCACATCATGTTTATACGCTTCATGGTGCCATTGGCAAAGCATATTTTTTCACAGATGAAAATGTCACCTCATAACACCAAAGCAATGCAGAGTGAGGATATCTCTGAGGATATTTAATATGCTATGAGACTAATTGCAGCTCACAGTTCAATGGTAGAAAACAAGCAAGAAATAGTGGCTAAAACAGAGTTTTTATTTATTTCTGTAAATCAAAATTAAGAACTTTTAAGAACCTTTAAGGATTGTGCATGGCATAGAAACTAACAACCTATCAGCAAATAGAATGGAAGAAATTAAAGTAATTATCTATGCAACTGCATTCACTCTTGCAATATTATTCCGAGCATAAAACAGAACAAATGCAATCTAATATTTAATATAAAACAGTATAGCATAGATTATTATTAAACAGTTAAATATTTAACATAAAATAAGCTAACAAAACTAACTTTCTAAAAGGTTTTAGGAAGATAATATTAAATTATTTTCATGAAACACCCACAATGATTCGCTCTCTGCCCTTTCACATTTTTTTTTGTTTTATTTCTGAAC